ACTTTTCATGGTTCCCGTCAATCAGTTCATTGTAGTTAATAAAGTAGAATAGAATTTAATAAACTGTTCACTGAAGTTGATTAACAAATATTAAATCATTCAGTTATAAAAAGAGGCGAATACATCCAAAGGAATATTTGACATTTTACAGATAAATCATTTATAATTGACAAGTTGATGTGGAAATTGTCGCGACACTTCCTCTAAAAGAGTTGAGCAACCTACTTGCGTTTGAGGATCTTTTTTTAGGCATCGTTACTGTTAGAATTTGTTTTCCATAACGACGTTTTTGTATGAATAGTAGGGATTGCTATAACTGTGTGCAGTCCCTCATTATACAGTGTGTTAAAAAATCTAGGTCAAAATCGATTAAATCGATTTGAGAATGACGTAAATCTTTTTTGCATGGAATTTTGTCGACAAGTTGCAAATGTTTTGCTTTAATTTGTCAAAGTACGATGTGGATGTTTTCTTGATGTTTCATGATCTAAGAGTATGAAAAAATAGGTCTCTCGTTTTCGTCTGTCAGTCTGTCCGTCTGTACGGATTTTCATGAAAGTTTTCGGAACTACTAGAAATCTTGTATTGGAAATTTCATGTAGATGGTAAGACGCCTACCAAAATTTGTCTAATCATTCCTACCAACGACGTAATGACATCCCCTCAAAATTTTTTACAATAAACTTGACTTAAATTTTATAAAACAGTATACTTCTACACTTGTGCTTTATGAATCCGCCCTGTTTTTGTTTATCATTATTATTATTATTATTAAGTTTGTTGAAACATTCTCGTTCTTTACTGGCCTATATTTAATAATAAAAAAATAAACTTAGGATTAGTCAGTTGTCTTCTCTGTTTTACGGAGACAACATTTGACAAATTTCATTTTTTTTAAGATACTTAAATGCATGCGACAGCCGATGCTTGATATCTAATCGTCGAGTTGTTTGTAAGTATAAACATAAATACTCGAGGTTAAGCATGTTATTATTACTGAGAGACCATTTTTTCCAATTGGTTGTCTGATTTAAATATAATGGATTTTGCGCCCCAACGGCGCAACGACTGCGGGGGTGTGATTTTCGCCACTGGGATTTACTTTATACTTTTTGCTTTATCACAAAACAATCAATAAAATCAAATTTTATAGTTTTTCAAAGAAGCAGGATTTGATTTTTTTTCCGTAAGCTAAGGAAATATTATAATAAAGTTCGTCGGTCGAATGACTCCTAGAGTATGACAAAAGAGGTATTCTGTCTGCCTGTCTGTCTGCCTCTGTCGATTTTTATTTAACACAATCTCCAAAACCACAGGACCGATTATTATTGTTAAGTTTTGCGAACATTTTAGGAATATCGCATATATTGTAAAACCTTAACCAAAATTTATCTAACCATCTTACCAATAATTTGGTCACGTCAACTCAAATTGTTTTAGAGTAAATCTAATTTAAATTTTATAAAATAACATACAGTCACTTCCATTAAAATCGGGACAAGAATTGACAAGACAATTCATATATGTATAGATATATAAATTTTTAATGCAAGTGACAGTATGTCTGTACTTGTGGTTTATGAATACGCCTTGATTTATATATTATATTTAGCATATAATTACAATAATTACTTTAGAACAATGTTTGTGTAATATTCGCTCTATGTTTCGTATAATCAATATCTCGCACACGTGCGAAACAAAACAAAAACGTGCAAGTTAACTCGCTGAGTTCGAATGGGATCTGCATGCCTGAGTTCGATCCCCATCCTCGTTGACTTTTTTTTTTCAAAGACCATCGAAGTTCTGTCTAAAAAACTTTAGTGTTTTTCTCAAATTAAGATCTAATTTTATAATTTTTGAAGAAGCTGGATTTGTTGGACTGGTACTTCTTGGTTGATGGAAGTTCTGTTTAAATAATCTTAGACCAATTTTTTAACTATGTCGCCCGTGAAATTTACCGATTCTATCTTGAAATACATAAAAAAACTTCTTAAAAATTATCGTATGATATTAACATTAATTTTGAAACTACATAATAGTACATACATATTTTAAAGATATCTGGATTGAATAATAATGCTAGTTCTTGACTACCCTTTTCTCATGTTTCTCACAGTTCTACGCTTCTCAGTTCTCACATTTCTCATTTCTTAAATTTTTTATTTCCCACATTTCCCGTTTCTCACATTTCAAATGTTTCCCATTTTCAGGCTCCTGGTGGTCATTTTTCACATTTTCTGTTTATCCCATTCCTTATTTTCCCTCATTTCTTGTTTCGTATATCTCAATTATCATTTCGCACATTAATTTCGTACATCTCATGTCTCAACTCTTATTTCGTAATTCTCAATTCTCATTTCGCACACCTCAAATCTTATTTCGCACATCACATTTTTTATTTTGCATATTCCACTTCTCATTTCGCACTTTTTTCTGATTTCTCATATCTCACTTCTCGTATTCTCATTTTGCCCATTTCTATTCTCATCTCGCACACCTCAGTTATTATTTTGAACATTTCGACCTTCATTTCACACATCTTATTTTACACCTTGCACATATCACTTCTTATATCTCATTTTGCAATTCTCAATTCGCACGTCTCATTTCTCATTCCTCTTTTTGCGTTTCTCATTTCGCACGTTTGTTCTCATGTTGCACTTTTCATGTCATTTCTCACATTTCCAAATTCTCACATATTCCGTTTCTCACATTTCCCATTTTTATATTGTTTATTTCCCATTTCGCATAGGTATTTCTCAGTTCTCACATTTCTAATTTCTCAAATATGACATTTCTCACATTTGTCATTTCTCATATTTCTCATTTCTCTCATTTCTTGTTTCTCACATTTTACGTTTATCAAATTGCTCATTTCTCCTCACTTTTTGTTTCACACATGTCATTTCTCATTTCGCACTATGTTGATGCGTATTGCAAGGGATCGATTATTTTATTTTCGTACAACACATTTGTGAAAAATTTTAAGATAACAAGTAGGAATATTATTTTGTACCTTTTGAAAGTCCTGAAGAAGTCTAATATATAGTCGAAACCAATTCACCTGTAAGAAAATAAAGTTGGTATTAGACCATTCAATATACTTATCTAGAACAATATTGTGATGCAAATATGTAATAATACAAGAATAAATTGTCTTTAACCATTCAATTATTTCAGAAATTTTAAGAATAAAATTATAAATAGTATTCGAGAAGAGTTTTGCATACAACATTACGAGTATTATGTGTAATAGCGTGTTATATATACGTTTCGTTATGTTAAGGTGTTCGGAAAGAAAGCTCGTGTTTTCAGAAATAACGGAACCAAATAACCAAATGGCGTTTCAGACGAAATAGGTGATTTTGCGCCACCTTGAGCTTTAACTAATATATTCACTTCGCAAAGCTGTCCTAAAGGACGTTCCATTTCCGTTATACGATTTTGCGCCTAGTTTTCCGGCAGCAATGTCGAATCGAGCGAATATTCATTGTTTCAGCGAGAAAAACTCGCGACGAAGGAATTTTGCATGCTTTAGAGTACTTGTGGGTGGAATGAAGTCGTCAGGGTTCTATGTATTGGAGTCACCGAAGAGCTTGCGCCAATAAGCTGTGCTGTACAATAACCTGCAGGTTATTTTCACGACAAAAAAAAAATGTGGATGTGATTTGTGTGTAGTAACACGAAAAATATTCCTGTTCGTGCTTTGATTTATTTTTTTTTTTTAATTGTAGACGAACTTCTTTTGTTTTTGTGCGTTGTACCAGAAATTAAAACGAAAATACTTAAGCACTTGTTTCCTTATTCCAAGTAGGTATGTTCCGTCAGCAAAATGGCTTTAAATTTCAACTAAACTTTTTGTTTTTGTTTTTACGGGATGCTTAGTCGGTGACATGTATCCATTCATGTTGCCTTCAGCTTTTCATTTATGAACGAAATTATACCTACACAGAAATTCAAATACAATATTCCACGTAAACGTTCAACATCATCATTAATTATTTAAACATTACGTTAGTATTGATTGTAAGCTAGAAGCGTAGGCTAATTGCATGTTGTCTACACGTTTTACGGCGTATATAGTACAAAATTATCGGTATCTCGTTTCCGTGTGTATGTCTATCTGTTGGCGATTTTATTAGACACGTAATCTCCGAAATTACTGGTTAGACTGCTCTGGCTAACTAAAATGTTTTCATGGCGCCTTTACAGACATTTTAAAGATACCCTATGTAAATTTTGATAAATGTTGTTCTTCTCTACTTGCGCCTTATTAATTTTCTCTTATTGGAAAATTGATAAAATCCTCGAACAAACTAACGAAACTGCAATAAGTAGTGATTATTTAGTGCTACTTATTTCATAAAAAACAACTCCAATTTCTTAGATAAATTGTAAAACTGGTTGTACAAGTTTTTTTATGTAAGATTTCAGAGCATTCGGTTCTGCAGATTATTATAAGCCAAATTGCGAAATGTTGATCTACGATCTTCATGTGAACGAAAACGGGGTACCTATTTTTCAAACACTAGGGGTCATGAAACGTCGAGAAAACATGAAATTAGCCTTTCGTCGGATGGATTCTAATATGCTTACGTTGGGAAAATAAAGACACAAAAGAACTTTACGTGTTTACCTAATTGACTTTTTAATAGTGTCATAATTGGAGGAAGTCACTGATTAAGTCAACCTCAGTATGAATCATCTATGCGTTCAAAAATAACGATTACATACTTGTATTTAGCGATAGAACATGTTTTTCGTGTTCAAGGAGCACATATTTATTGCGTTCTAATTTTTATACCGTGCGTTATAAACAGTTTAGTGTAAACTACAGCGAAAATTACACAAATATTGGAACTACTGTTAATTAAGATAGTGTTATAGCAATACCCGCATCCCGTAATGACTCACTTAACTAGATTCCGTTTAACTTAGTTTAAATAAACCTAAATTATCCCGCTACCTGACTTTTAACTTTAGTTTTCCTTTTGCAGGAGTTTGCATTTGGAGTACCCTTATTTACTAGATGGAGTTTCCAGTCCAGAGGAACGTTTAAGGTAAATGCAAATCGAAATTCTCAGCGTAGTTGTAACGCGTCTGCAACGCTAAACCTTAACTGGCCCAATAAACAATAGGAATTATCATACAACTACAATATCTTCGCCATCTGCGCAGTTTGAATAAAACGAACCAAATTCCCATTTACATAGAACAAGACACCGCTGCAATTCTTGCAGACGGTAACGTATACGAGCATTCATTGCGTTAAGTGGCAAAAAGTGCAAACGACCTCTTCGAAAGCCGAAATTGCATCCAATCGTTTGCCGCTATCTCACCGTTATCCGTTCAAACGTTCGAAAGTCAAGTAAACGACATGATTATGCGAAATGCAAAAGCCGGTGTCGATATTCGTTACTAAGAAGCATTGACTTGTTCGAGTGCTGGGGCATAAAGTGTCGCAAATCACGATTTAGACACTTCGTGCTTTTGCGATGATGCTGACTGAAAGCAGGGGAGTGGCGGAACGAGAGGCTTTTCGTCGATTTGATATTTTCTGGTTCAAAGTTCAAGATGCAAAGGGCGTTGCTTGCTGGAGGCGGCCGTAGTGCTCCATGTTCGGTGGAACTAAAGTTGTAAAATTTAAGGCTACGACGGGTTTTTATAGTTTGGAATTAAAAAAGTGTTTTGTGAAGTTATGAAAAGTTACAGGTGTTCTAGTGTTTCTAGTAGAGTTTATGATTCATATTTTGTACGTGATTTTTAAAAAGGATTTGAAACATGCTTCTAATAAAATGTCATCATGCCATAAAATAATCGTCGATACCAATCTGACAATTAATTTTAACTGGAGCCAACTCTAGTTCACCTTTCTTTGCACTCTACATGGATTTTCTAGTCACAGAAATTGTAAAATACTATTACAATTTGTATGATAACGTAAAAAAAAAATATTCCATTTCGACAGTTTTGAATGAAAACTTAATGTTGTCAGTTATACAAAATGAATTATACACCGGGTGTCCCATTTAGCTCTTATGCTGCCCGTTTTTGATTACTTAATTATATAGAAATTTGAAATTTAGACTAGTTGTTTAACAATAAGAAATCAGTAAAGTCAATACATGATTACTGATTACACATTGTGCCATATTTGTTTCTTTATTTATGTAACAACGATACATTGTATAGCCAAGTCGAACAACAGACGTATAACCTATAACAAATAGATGTATATAAAGCAAAATAACACATTACGCAGCACATTAATCCAAGTTAACAAAATTGGGTAAAAGGAATGAAACAAAATCATAAAACTTCTTGACAACATAAAATTATTTTAAGATTATTATTTAAATTATTGTCTGTAGATAATAATGGTGTGTCGTTAGCAATCAAAGTGATTCCATTATTTTGACGAGTTACACAGATGTCGTTGATTTGTAACAAAAAGAGTATCGATCGGAGCACGGAGCCTTGAGGTACTCCACTATTTAATATCAGAAAATTTGCCGTTCTAAGAAGTAAATCGATTTCTTTCCGATAAGTTTTAAAGAACACACACCCTAATTCCAACAAATTTACTCTTTTCCACACCATCAATAAGTATATTCACCAAATGAGTTACAGCAGAACCGGTACTTTAACTCCCGTTGAAGCCAAATTGTTGCGACGTGAACAAATTATTCTTCTTAAAATGTTTCAGTATTTGATTTTTTAGGGCTATTTAAAATTTCTGAGAATTACAATCGGTCTGTAATTAGACGTTGTGTTCCTAACCCCTCCTTTAAAGAGCGGGACAACTTTAGCTATTTTTAAATCATCAGGAAAAGTAGACAAGATTAGTTACGGGTATAATAATTTTGTTTTTGATGGATTTTATAAGATTTATGTTCAGATCAAAGCAATCTATGTTTGTGTTATTACATAATGTATTTATTATATCTCTTAATTCAACAAATAGAATATACTCGTAGTACGGTTTTTAAATGAACGAAGTACATATATACACTTTTTAAAGTTTGTTAGTGGATGTAGTATAGAGTTATAAAAATTGATCTAATGTTATTTACTCAGAACTTTTCTCGCCCTTCAATAAAATTGAACAAATTCAGTTTCTTAGAAAAATGATAAAATTTTATTTTGCATTTTTTTTATTTCATAATAAACCCTATTAGAATAAGTAACAAATTACAGATAATACCAGGCCACGAGGTGCATGAGCGAGATATTGGCTATGTGAAATACGTGGAAAATATTGCACACAAAATTTGTAAAGTATTTGTGATAAAAATCAAGGACGATTCATAAACCACGAGTACATGAGTATATTACGTTATAACGTTTAGATAAAGTTTACAAAATAATGAAGAGACGTACCAAATTGTTGGTGGGGATAATCACACAAATTTTGTTTTGCGGTTTACCATCTATACAGGATGTTGCTAATATTCCAGACGACAGATAGACGGAAACGGGAGACCTATCTTTTCGTACTCTGGGAGTCATGAAACGTCTAGAAAACATGAAAGTAGCCATTCGCCGGATGGATCCTATTATAATACTTTCGTAGCTTACACCCTGGAAGTAAAAAGCTAAAATTTAAAGATCTTTGTTGCTTAGGAGCGATGACCATACAGTCATTTATTACACATCGTCACTCTTAAGTTGTTAGGGTTTTGAAGTCATTATTTTCCAGTGGAAGTGTGTATGCCTGGATAGGGGTTAAATTTGCCGTAAAGATTTTACAAAGGCAAGAATCGTTTATTACTTCCGGAGTGTACGCTAGGAAAGTATATGACCAGTTTCATATTTTTTAACTTATTAGAATGCCTGAATTGTCCAGTTTTTTTTCCGTGTAATTCAAAAGATCCTGTACATATCGCATGAAAACTACTTATGGGATAAATTCAGTAATTCTAAAACTAATAATGGTATTTATCGAAAACAATACCATAGGTATCCCATTCCCGTCTGTTTCTGTTGATTTTTTTTATTTTTTTTAGGCAGATAATCTCTGATGCCACTGGACCGATTCTTGTCAAATTTTATATTATGTATTTTATGAATGTCGCAAAGATGAGAAAAAAAATTGGTCTAATGTGATGATTTCATTTCAGAATTTTTCGCAGTAGTAGGATCTAAATTTTATAAAATAATGTTACTAAATAAACCCATACGCTTCCCCGGTACGACGCCTATGGGTTTTCTAGTATGTGCGGCGAGGATGGGTGGCTCATCGTCGGTGATGACGCCCTGACGGCGTTAGCTAAAGAAGAGCCTGGAAGTGGAAGTCGCGATGGTTGCTCCAGACAACTCTAGAAGCGGTGACGGAGGCGTGTCCAGAAGGACTGCGGAATTATTTTGTACATAATCGATGTCTAATCAGTCGTGTAAATTTGAGTTATTGAGAAATAAATTGTTGAGTTTTACCCACGCCGATTTCCAAATACCCGTTCAACGTAACAATAATATACTCTTGTACTTAGGGTACGCAGTGTAATTGAAAAATCATCAGTTATTATTTTGTAGTCTAAGAATATCGATAAAGTATGAAATGTAATTTAAGAATTTTGGAAATTGTAAACACTCAACTCGTTGATGAGTCTATTTTTTTGGAGTCAGATGCCCATTGCTTTATTGAAATCTAAAAATATGGGCAGCAAATAGTTAATTTGAAGAATAGTTCTACAATAAAGTCATTTCGAAAATGATTATACCATTTTTTAAATTACTAAACGCAAAAGTTTTACATGGTAATGTTATCAGGTTATCAGTTGTTGAAGTTGACATTTCACGATTGTACATAGATGTAGAATTTATAGGCAACTAAAAACTTCGTCACTGCATCTACCGGAGCTGTGGCCAAAATATCGCCTAGAATATTGGATTAATGTTTAAATTATATAGGCATTTTACTAGACGGCTGGTTAGCCCCGATGGTTATCAAAAGTGATAGATCCGTGAATCTTTTATGAACCTCTTTAAAGCTTACGGAATCCAGAATATCCACCCTTTTCATAGAATTCCAATTTGCATAAACTTGGGATGTGCGGAGTAGTAACCTGTTAGATTGGATAGAAGTCGATTCATTAAATTAAATACCCTCAGCCTGCTAACCACTAAGTAATAATAACTAAGTTGTCATATTTATATGTTGTCCGTTAATTTAAAAATTCCTTCAGTCTATCTTCTGTAACATTAATTTTCACACTATTTAACGTCATAATATTAGAGTCTGCAGCTCACGCCTGGAACTCTTATATAAATTTAACTGCCACAATGAAATATTTTTCTACACTGTACAGACGAAGAGTAAGAGGAGATTTAGCTTTCTTGTTCATCATGCTTAAGAATTGGATAAATTAAGATATTAATTTCTTCTAAAGAAATTCAGTGTTCATATTATTGTTGTTTGAATTTAACTTATTAATTTTCGTGAATATATCATTTCTAAGAGGGGCAACAGTGTATATTATCTTATGATGAAAGACATGTCTTAAACTTGAGATTTTCAGGTGATCCTCCATGAAATGAATATGCTTGTAGCTTGTATATGAACTTGTAAATTCGAACCCGCGACTGGTCCACTAAAATCCACTTAAGTAGCAAAAACCCATAATCACCCGACTAATTGTCGTAGAACCACAGCTAGGATAATCTCATTTCGCTCAGCTCACCGGTCGCCACTCTGCAGCCCCTTCAGGCAGGGTTAAGGACCAGACGGTGGAGTCACAGCCCTTTTCGGCTACTACGCCATGTCGCGTATTACACTGCGTATACTATGCTTCATAGCTCCTACGCCTAAGATCGATACGCCGCCAAAACCCTCCGCGTTCTTCCGCCTAAAACTGGACGCGTTTCGTTTGCTCAAACCCGACCCGAATAGTTTCATTCGGGAATTTGCTCCCATTAAATTATTTTTTATTAAACGTATCCGGGGTGTTGACTGGACAGGTTATTTATGTACGCAACCTGGAGGGTCGAGGGGTTGTGCATAGAGAATCACTTTCGGGTCGTTGTTGACATTCAGGATCTTTACTCTGGCTAATACGCAGGG